CCCCAAAACCCCAAAACCCCAAAACCCCAAAACCCCGTTTTAAGGGTTTAGGATTGAATTTTAGCCTAGAAGGTTAGATGGAGGGTTTAAAATATTATTTTGGTTTGATTTCTAAAATATGGACTTGTGTCAAATTTAACTTTTTTTTAGCCTCACCTTTTTGCCTATTTTCTTCTCAGATAATTAATAGATCTTTCTTTAGAATACTAACCACTTTACTTTGATTTTATCTTTGAAAAATTCCATCCAACTCACAGATCTTAGTGGTTATCGATATATGAAACTTGAAATAGCTATCAATCTTTTTGTGTAAGCATATAATTGGGCAAATTCCTTGTTTTCGCTTAAGTTTACTCTCAAAAGTCTCGAATTAGTCTATCAAGATTCTCAATAGAATTCCTCTTGAAGAATTACATATACATAAAACCAAGATTTTTAAGATCCCATAATTTTCACTATAGCTACTGACTAAAATATCTAATCTAAGTCAAAATGATCCTAACTTTAACTCAACATCCATCACATCTATAATAACCTCAATAACTAATAGTTCCACAGTTCGCTTCTACTCCTAACTCTAAAACCTTAACCCAAAGAGCCTGTAAATCAGTTTCTTAGAGCTTATATAGACTTCTACGATTTATCAGCTCTCCACTAAATTTATTCTTCCGTAACTGTAATGTAGGTCTATCTCCTATCTGAAACTTAGCCTATGACTATCACCAAATCGCCATTTAGTAAAAATTTAAGGCCCGACTGATCCTACGGGATCAATTCTTAGCAGGCTGAGTAGTCTTTCTAGGCTAGAAAATACTCATAATGGATGTCCAGCCGACTTTTAGAAAGATTCTAAGTTTGAAATGTGGTTTATTGTTGTAAATGTTACCAAAGAGGTTTTCAGAATTTATAAGTTTTATTTGTCCGATGGCCACAAGTCTTCAGAGGAGCTTAGACATAAGTTTTAATGCTCGTGATGCTTTGCAACAGCGTGGATCGAAAATTCTCCCATTTTCGGGCTTTTATAGTTCATCAAATTTTGGGTCCTCAGCATGAAAATTTTAAAGAACCTGATAATTCAATTAGAGCCTTCCTGATTAAAACCCCAAGGTTTACCTGAACGTTTCAGGATCTCTGAGCGAGCTCAGAACTCAAAATTTAAGCCCAAAATAAGATAGAAAAACTCAGAAATAAGTTTACTTTTTGGAGCTTCAATTTTAATATTTTAGGAAAGTAATTCTCTTCATAAGAGTTCTATTTGGCTAAGGTAATGAGATCACAAAGTTTTAAAAGTACTGGGGCTAACTCCTGCTTTCTGCGTATATAAAATTTCAAAATAATATCTTTGGATAATAAACCCAGCAGAAAATATTGTTTGGACAGAAGAACCATTTAACTAATTGATGTTTTGGATTGTCCCATTAATAATTGTTGTCAGCATTTTATAGAAATTTAAGTCAGTCTTCTAATTTTCGGTGACTATATTTTATGATAAAACCCGGAATTAGGTAATGAAGTAAGACAAATACTTAAAAGTCCTTCATATTAGCCTAGTCATTGATAGAGGCTATCATCTACAAGCTAAAGGTCTGATTGTATAGTTGATCGAAATTTCAACTAAAGTTCTTAAAATAATTCGGTATTTCGTATCCAAAACACTAATGATAAACTCCAAGTCTTATGGGCATATCTTACTTTCAGAATTCTGAAAGAACTAAATAAAGTAAGAAATGATTCTAACAGCTGCATTTAGGTTCAGATTCTGCAACTAGATATTACAAGTGCACAAATCTTTAGATAAATGGAAAAGAAAAATAGTTCTGTAAGAAGATTATCAACAGTTTATTAAAACTATTATTAGAGCACTCTGAGTTTAGGTAGTCCCAACATCATTCATTGTGACAAAATATCCATCCCCAGCTTCCAAGGAGGGTTCTTTTTGACTAATCTTGGGACTTTGTAGAGATTTTTCAGATTTATTTCGTAGCCAAGCAGCCTGCCTTAGCAGACTACTAATATCAGATTTCAAGCTTTGTCTCCCATTTGGTCTTTCATTCAATAACTTGGCAGGACTCTTTTTGAGATATTCAAAAGACTTCTCAGCCTTATAGTAAGACTTCGTTCTAGTCCTCTTGCTAAATGTTCCTTCACTTTGGTCAAAGTTTTCCTTTAAGAAAATTTTGGGAGTCTTTCAAGGCATAAACTCAAATTTCTCTTGAAGATTATTTTTGTCAGGAGTAAAAGACTTTTTTTTCATATTATTAAGGATCTTGTCTGATCCTCTAACTTCAGAAGAAGCCACGCCTTCACTAAGGAGTTCATCTGATAAGTTTTCATGTTCAAAAATGTGATTTGTGAAGTCCATATTTGTTATTACTAATCTAATAATTAGTGTCTCAATGATTTAAGTACGATACGGGGTTTTGGGGTTTTGGGGTTTTGGGG